CTATTGATGAATGAGTAGATGTTCTTGTCACAACATGAGTGCCTTGGAACGTTTTGACCTTTCTTTTTCAATAGAAACAAAATAATAAATGTTTTGATTAAAAGATAAATCATAATGTAAAAGGTTAAGTAAAAAATATAAATAAAGCAAGATTCATGTGGTTGTTGTCCGCACTTGCACGAGACATCTGTGGTCCGTCTCTTTCTTTCCTCGCCGACGCCACCCCACCTATTCAGGTCCAATGAATCCTGCGGAGCTGGTCTCCGGCATTCTGGAACTTGGGGAGGGGCTAGAAGAAGCAAGGGACAGGAAAACTGAGTGCCCACCCTTGGTCTCACTTGTGTCTTCCCTCCCAGAATCTCACCCAGAGGAAACTCGGAAACTTTATTCATTGAAGTGGGAAGGTGATGGTGAGGTTAATGGCATTGGATCTGAACCCAAACAACACAGCCAAAGGAAAAAGACAGGGAATAGGGAAAGTGACGTAAAAGATAGAAGAAAGAAGTGGAAGCTGGAGACACTTAAGGGCAGGATCAGCAACAGTTGAGCGTGAGCTCTGCAGTACCCCTAGGCCCCTCGGGCCACCTCACTCCCCCACGCACCTGCACAGCCCTTGTAGATTCTAGATTGAACATCTGGTTCAATGTTGGAGTGAAGACTTTAGACCAGCCCTTAGCATACAATTCTGAGCCTTTCCCCCAAAATACATCCATCCACACTGGTGAAATTTGTCCTCTTAGCCCTGTCCCTGTCCCACACCCCCATCCCTCATCCCTATCCCCACTTCTGACTTTCTCTTTGCCCCAGTAAAGACCAAGGCCCGAATCTCCTCTCCTCCTGGGAGGGAAGTTGTGGTGAGAACTGACTTGAAGTGGGGCCCAAATATACTTTCTCAGTCCAGATAAAACCTCCTTCCGTGTTTCTTACCACTGCCAGGCCCTACCCGAGCCCTTCTGGGTCTCAGGAATTTGTGACATCTTTATAGAGGGCACTTTTAAAACTTTGGTAGAAATGAATATTGTATTTGGTTTTTGAGTTTTATTTTTAAACCAATTTTATATGAAATTGGAAAGGAAAAGGAGTTGCTCCTGAGTCACTTAGAGTGGGTCTCCCTGAACAGGTCCCCAAAAAACCTCCCAACCCTCCCCCCACTTCTTGTTCAACCTGTTCGGAGAATGCTGGTGTCACAGGTGTGACACACAGGAAGGAACCTGAGCTGGAATGGGGTTTGGGTTGGAAGCTCCAGCACCTCAATGTTCTCAGGCCTCTGCTGTGCACCAAAGTTGACTCAGGGGGTGCCTGGATGGAGACTGCCTTCTGAAGGGACAGTCAGAGTTATGGACTGTCCCCTTGAATTTTTTTCTCCACTCTGTTTTACTAAATCCAGATCTATGATTTCCAGAATCCCCTGAGCCTAATATTTTCTGATTTCCACAAGTGCAAACCTGCTTTCGAGAAAAAAATGTCTTCCTGTGTAAGAGTCCCAACCCTACACCCACAATACTACTGTGCTGACTGGTAGGAACAAGTGATCAGGGCAGCCATGGGCTTGTGAGGGTCTGGGGCAGTATGGACAGGTTCTGGGTATTTTGGGGATCGAGTGTTGGGGGCTGGGGAGGGGCATGGTGCTCAGGCCCTGTGACACTAGGACAGTGGAGGGGGGGAGACTAGACAAGGGAGTGACGAATGTCCTCAGCCCTGGCTCTGGAGGGCTGGGAGCTGAGATAGGTCCATATTATTTCCCTTCTTATTCACTCAGCTTCTTTGTTGATGGTCTTAGTGGTCATCATGGGGACCCAGCACTAGCGACTCCTGTGTCCCAGAGCAGGTGACTCCTCTCTGGTCCACACTCAGAGCAGCTCCGCCCCGCCATGCGCCCCGCGCCCGCCAGGGGGCGCGCCAGCCCCGACCTCCCTGCACCCGCGGACACAGCTGGAGCCCCCTCCCTTCCTGTGGGTCGTGTCCTCTTCTCGGTCCCGCACAATAGCGAAGTCGATGCAAGAAAGCGGAGCATTGTGAATGACACGGGATTTTTATTCAGTGATCCCAGGAAACCCTGGGTGTTCCTGTTGAAATGTGTGCATAGGAACAAGTGGATGTACCTTGCAGCCTCCGGATGACAAAAAGAACCATTTATGACCCTTCCCATCCGCCCAGGCTCTCATAATAATAGTCCATAAACTGTACAACATTTAGAAAGTGCCGTGTGCTTTGCTCCTGGGCGAGAAAAGGGCCTGAGGTAATGAAATGTCTCAGTGAAGGGTCCTCAGGGCCAGCCTGGGGATTGTGCCTGCTGGATGTTGGCCACAGGGGTAATCATAGGAGTCCGTGTCCCTGGGGACTTCTCCTCCACCAAAAGCTTCTCATGCCCCTCATAGAAAGAGGAACAGGAGCCCACTCAGGGCAGATGCAGGCCGAACGTTGAAGAGGAGACAGGAAAAGGACGGGGATTGAGTCTAAGTCTCTCCTATCCTCACACTCACTCCAAGTCCCAGATCTCAGGTGACCCCAGGCCCTCTCTCCAGGCTCATCAGGAAGCAGGATCCAGGAGTCATCCAGTTACCTGGCGTCTCATCAGACGACACTGAAGAGAGAGACAGAGAAAGAGTGAGATAGAGAGAGACAGTGAGCCAGAGACGGAGGGAAAGACCAAAAGTGGTTCAAAAGCAAAACAAGAGAGACGTGCGAAGAGGGCGAAGATGTGGAGAGAGTGATATTGCGACAGAAATACAAACAGAAGGAGAAAAGAGGGGAGGGAAGGGGAGAGGTGGGTTGAAGAGAGGTGGGTGGACAGAGACAGGGAGATGTGGAGGACAGGGCAGGGGTGGGGGGCTCCATCATGGACAGAGCAGGCATCCAGACCTTCGGGGAGAGGTGGGTTGAAGAGAGGTGGGTGGACAGAGACAGGGAGATGTGGAGGACAGGGCATGGGTGGGGGCTCCATCATGGACAGAGCAGGCATCCAGACCTTCCCCGTGCCCTGATCCCCTAACCCTGAGGATGGGACAGGACCTCACCTGCAACAAACCCTGTCACCCGAGGACCACGCTGAGGAACAACTCTGGCCTTTCACCTTCACTATGAAGGACTCCTGAGGGTCGAGTCTCCAGAGGCAGCACTGTTCGAAGCAGACTCTGAAGGTGCAGTTTCCACACTTTTGGGTCCTGCCCAGGGGCACAACAGCATCGTCGTAGCAACAGTGCTGCAGAGGGTCGTAGAACTCGTCTCCGCATCTTGTGTGTGGCTGACACAGCAACAGGTGAGCTCCCGTGGGGGACACTGGAGGAGACAGAGCTGGTGTGGTCCAGGCGGCAGGGGCAGGCGGGTCCCGGCCTGGGGCCCTCTGGGAGCTGCACCCTCCCCCGAGTGTCCCCACCCCTCCTGGGCTCACCTGGAACTCCGTGTGAGCAGAGCAGCATGACGCAGAGGGCTGCAGAGACAGCTGTGGGAGAGGAGGGCGTGAGTGGGGGCTGGCTGGGCAGCCACGGGTCATCCTGGGAGCCCAGCCTGGGTCAGGGAGGGTCCGAGGGTGTCTCTGTCCTGAGCGAGGCTCAGGGAGCAGACCCCAGGTGGGATCCAGTCACCCTATGGTCAAGGGTCCTGTGTAAAGCAAGGGCATGAGGGCAGAACTCATGGAAGAAACAGGTTTAGGGTTCAGGGGAACGTGGGTGTTTCCTGGCCTGGAGGAATTTAGAGCTGGTGGCTCAGGTGGGGTCAGGCTCTGAAGGGGGTTGAGCTAAGCCTGGTGGTGTGCTGTGGATATGACGAGCAAGAACAGTCAGAAGAAGAAGGGCTGGAAGTAGAAACCAGGCTGTGTATGTCACTGGCCATGAGTCTGGGGACTGACACAGAGACATGGATAGGGCTGACCTTGGGGATGTGGGTCGGGAGTTGCTATGATGGAGTCATACGTAGGGAGGAGGCACGGGGTTGGGATGAGGTTTAGGTTGGGGGAGGGATGGGGTCCAGGTGGTGGCTGAGATTGGAGATGAGCTCAGGTGGGAATAGGGCTCTGTCCTCCTTACCCAAAATGCAGCATCGGGGAGCCATGGCCGTGGGTGGGCTGCCGTGGAGTGGATGGGTGATAGCAGATCTCAGCAGGTCCTTTTATGCAGAGATGAGCTGGTGATGTCACTGGCTCTCCCGCCCTCCCGAGTGGCCTGCAGAGACATGCTGGGCCCTTGGGCAGGAGAAGTATCAGATGGTATGTGTATCATATTGGATTTTATGTCAGATCTATTGAGAGTCAGGAGAGAACAGATGCCCTCACCGCAGGTGACAACCCAGCAGAGCAGACAGCAGAAGCCCAGCTCCCAAGCTCTGAGCTGCTTTCTGGGGCTGGTTGAGAGCCCAACTCTGGATCCAGACAAGCCTGAGTCTCAAATAATTGTCAGGTGAACGAAAGGCAAGGGACTGTGCCTCTCTGAGCCTCAGTTTCCTTCCATGTAAAATGGAGATAACCAGCCCTGGTTGTTGTCTTTTGGACTAACAAGAGACGACACATTGAAGGGCCTGGTAATAAGTATGCACCAAGGACGACCTGTGTGACCAGCCCTGTGCTAGGTGCTGCTGAGGACACAGAAGTTACCTAATGGCAGGCCCTTTGCCATCATCGGGGGACACAGACTGTCCTCAGACCGTGATGGCTCAGAGAGGTCAAGGCTGGGTGGGGGAAGCCTAGAAGTTTGGGAGCCCACGGTGGTTGCCTGAGCTGGCCTGGGAGGTCGGGGAGGGCTTCCTGGAGGAGCGGATGTCTGAGCTAATAGTTGAAGGATGAGTGAGAACTGTGACCGTTTCAGCTAGGATGAGCCCACAGAAGAGGGAGGGCAAAGCAGGGATTGGAGGCTGCAGGGGACTGCAGGGCAGGGTCACTTTGTGAACCCCAAGGAGGACCCTGTACTTTATCCTGAGAACACCAGGTACTACGGCCCATGCTATGGTTTGACTGTGTCCCTCAAAGTTCATGTGTTGGAAACTTAATCCCCAATACAACAGTGTTGGGAGGTGGAACCGAAAAAGAGGTGACTGATTCATGAGGCTTCTACCCTCATGAATGGGTCATCGTCGTTACTGAGAGAGTGGGCTTGTTGCAAAAGCGAGTCTGGCCCCCTCTGCTCTCCTGCTGTCTGACTCTCTCTTACCCTTCTGTCTTCTGCCAGGAGGCCCTTGCCAGATGCTGGCACCTTGATATAGGACTTCCCAGCCTCCAGAACTGTGAGAAATAGGTTGCTTTTCTTACAAATTACCCAGTCTGTGGTATTCTGTCATAGCAACACAAAACTAAGCTTGGTTCTAAGCAGGGGGCGGAAGTGGTTAGATTTGTGTTTGTGGAACATCCCTGTATCCACCTGCCATGAGCAGGGTGGACAGGAGGGTGGAGACTGGAGGCAGATGATCATACAATTCCCAGAGTCCTAATTGTCCTCTTTCCCCATCGTGGGGAAGGGGACGGCACATGCTCCTCCCAGCCCGTTTCTCCCCCTGCGCTTCTGGCTTCCCCTCTGCAGGATACAGCAGTGTTTTCCAGACTGTGAATGACAACATTTCAGTTGTTTGTATAACTGCTTGAGTTGGTCATAAACAATATTGTTTTTTAATTAAAAAATAGGTTAGAAAATGGGTTAGTATGCACTGCACAGAATCTTATCAAAAGTTATTCACTGAAACTTTCCTTCATGACTACTGTAAACCACATAACGATGTAATTTTTTTCCCCCATGACTCACAGCCAAACAGGAATGGAGAAGGCTCCAGGCATGGGCTGGTTTCCTTCTTGGCTACATGCTGCTGACTTAGCTGCCCTGTCATGTCCTCCAGTGATGGGGTTCATTTCTCATAGCCTTGCTTCCAGGCATTTTCTGGGATGGCTTCAGGCGAGATGGATCCAGGTCTGGTTGATGAGGTAGAGGCCTGGACATCGCCTACGGTAAGGGAGAAAGCAAGTTTCCTGGGGCACGGTTGGGATAGTAGTCCCTGAGGAGGGAGGGACCCAGCTTGCCCTCCTTGTCCTGGATTCTGGCCCCTCAGAGCGGATGAGTCAGACCCAGGAGCAGGAAAATGGAAGGAGATCATGACAGGGCAGGGGTCCTTGGAGGCTGAAACAGTGGGAGGGGAGGGAGGACAGTCCAGGGCTCTGTGGATACTGAGAGTCCCTGACTTGACAGTGATGAGGCTTTGGGGTCAGACAGCCCTGGGTTCAAATCCTGTCCCTGCCCCTTCTCACAGTGTTAAAAAAATCTTTGCACACAACGCTGTCCAATCGTGAAACCATCTCCCTCTGAGTCCCCATCCTATTCTGGTCACTCTGGGGAGTCACTGTCTGGGGACAGGTCTGTCTTCTGCATGGGACCCCAGCTCTGTGAGGCAGGACCTGGGCTGTCTTGGTCGAAGCTGATCCTTGGGTTGGAACTCAGCCTCTATCAGTGGTTAAAGAAGGTTCTAGATTTCTAGACAGTATGTGTAAGATCCTCACGTCAAATGTCCATTTGTTTAATTCCTGCATCCCACTCCCTGGATCCAAGTAAGACACTGGCTGAGGTCCCAATGCTGATCAGTGACAAGGCTGGACAAGAACTCAGGTTTCCTGAGTTCCGGTCCAGGGGTCTCCAGATACCCCTGGCCCAGCCCCTGTGGGTCTCCAGATACCCCTGGTCACAGACACCCCTGAACGAGACCCAGGTCAGGCATTCCCACAGCTCCTGGGTGGGGCTGGCAGAGCTGGGCTCCTGTAATGTGAAACCCAGGGGCACGATGACATCTCCTGCTGGCAGTGGCTTCCCCACAGGATTCCCCTTTGCCCTAGGAATAAATAGAATGAATCTCTCTCCTGGCAGCATCTGGCGTTATTTCCATCTGGCCTCAGGGAGCCCCTCCCAAGGGACAGGCAGAAATGTGGTGGAATTTCAGGTGTGCAGGAAAAATGTCAGGTATGCAGAAGGAGGGGGCGGGGGTTCCCCAGGCTGGAGGCCCCTCTTTCCTGGCTGACACGGAGGCTGTGTCACGCATTTGCTGCAACCACGTGGTCAGAATTTCAGGGTCTGACCCCTCTTCCAGCAAAGGGGCTTTGGTGACCAAAGACGGGGTGGTCAGGCCACATTCTGGCCCTACTGAAACCCTCTGCATGAAATAGAGCATTTGGTGCCTCCCGTCCTAGGAGGCTGAGGGGAGGAGAGAAGGATCACAAAGCCCTGACATGGCTCCTGCAAAGTTTCTCATTGCACCTGTTCCTAGAATTTTCTTATAGAATCAGAGCAGACAACATTCTTGGAGGCAGAGAATATTTCTGCACTTGGCTGTTCTAGGAGCCGGATCAAAGAACTGGTCGGTGGTCTATCTCCCTTCTGACTGTGTAGAAACTTAGAATCCACAAGGAGTAAGTAGTTTTACCACATTGAGCTGGAGATTCTCCACTCTTTTTTTTTTTTTTCCTTTTTGTCTTTTTACGTCCACAAGGAGTAAGTAGTTTTACCACATTGAGCTGGAGATTCTCCACTCTTTTTTTTTTTTTCCTTTTTGTCTTTTTACGTGACCGGCAACGGGATCGCAACCCTTGGTGTTGCGCCCACACCTCGCTCAGCCAGTGAGCAGCCGGTCTGTACGTGGGATCCGAACCCTCGGCGGGAGCGCCGCTGTGCTCCCAAGCAGCGCACTATAGCAGTGTGCCACCGGGCCAGCCCCGAGATTCTCCACTCTTGATTCTAAGCTGTCACTGCCTTGTGCAATCAAGTTGCCATGTCCTTGAAGACTTAATTCCCAATTCTGGGGCTGTTCTACGTTGTGTTGGCTTATTAATTAGGAAAATTAAAACTCTACAATAGCTTAATCCAGTGGGCCCAAGCAGAATATTCCCAGCTTTCTGGAGTTTCAACCATAACATGATACACGTCTTAAATAAGCTAAGAAGACTTAGTTAATGGGGTACTTCTGTGAAGAAGGACCTCAGCATCAAAATCGCAGTGTCCTTTAGAGGCACTGACAGGAACACTATTTCTTTAGCTGGGTTCCTCAGAGAACACATGATTCCTCATAGAACTTTCTAGAACTTTTTGGTACCCCAGTTATGATAACTCGGATCATTTAGTTTAGAGCCAGATATCTTTATGGGAGCAGCATTAAATTGGAATCCAGGGTTCACCAGGTCAACCAGTCAACTAACCCTACTGTGAGCTGTCTGTGTAATAACGGGGAGTGATCACCAGGGGATGGCCCCATGGGCAGTTCCCACATGTAGTCTATATATGGCATGTCAGAGGGCAGGGAACAAAAATAGAATAACTAGACCCAGGTGGGTGTGAGGGAGGCAGATGGCAGTGTTCCCCACCACAGAAAGGAAACACCTTTCCAAAGGTTCCCCATGATTGCGTCATCCAAACTTGGACAATGTTAACAGCCATTAGAAGCCACAGGCTTAAGCAAACCACATTGGAAGAAGAAAATCTACCAGAAGCCTGTTCATTGAGGTACTTATCTGGATTTAAGTTGGACTTTCCCAGTTCCCCTACAGCTACCTCCTCAGCCTGGCCTGAAGATCACAGTTGGACACTCACTTCCTGTTCCCTCTCCTGAATAATTAACATTGTTCTTGCTCCCCCATGTGGTAGAGGGGGGCATATTCACTGTTAAAGTTCACATTTCCCTCCCTGATCCTTGATGCTAAGGGATTCAGCCAACATCTTAATATTCCCTGTAAACAGTGCATTTACTGATGTTATTTTTATCTGTCCCAAATAAACCACCCCGAGAGAGGCAGATAATGAACAGGCCACCTGTGCGTGTCAGGATTAATGAGGGGTTTGAATGGAAGTTTTAGGTGACTACATTTCAGTGTGTGACCAAATGTAACCTGGAGTTTTCAGATGATTAGCCAAGTGAAGGGCCACTCCTGGCTACAGCAAAGACTCGTTCCTTCAGCCCACTCTCCTGTTTTGATTATTTTGAAAATTAAACTTTTCATTTTGAGATATTGTAGATTTATATGCTGTTGTAAAAAATATATAATAGAGATCCTTTGTACTCTTTACCCAATTTCCCCCATTGGTAACATTTTGCAAAACTATAGTACAATAACACACCAGGACACTGACACTGATATAGAACATCTCCGTCACCACAAGGATCCCTCAGTTGCCTCTCACAGCCACACCCGCCTTCCTCCACTCCCATCTCCTACCTAATCCCTGGTAAGCACAAATCTTTTTCTCATTTCTACAATTTGTCATTTCAAGAATGTTAAATGGAACCATACAGTATGTAATCTTTGGGGACTGGATTTTTTCACTCAGGAGAATTCTCTGGGGATTCCTCCAGGTTGCTACGTGTTATCAATAACTTATTCTTTATTATTACTGAGTAGTATTCCATGATACGAGTGTATCACAGTTTGTTTAACAGCTCCCCAGTTGAAGGTCATCTTGTTACCAAACCCAAGTCTGACTGCCTGCCACCAAACAGAAACAAAAGACCCAAAAGTCACATGAGGATATACTGATGACTAAATGGAAGGCAGCTTTACCCAGGAATGGGGAAGGCAGCTTTCCCCAGAAAACCAGCAACCTGAAGGAGATACTAGGCTGACCCATCTCAAAGCCTCAGATTTCCCGAGGGGGTTTTAAGGGGGAGGAAGTGGGGAGTGAAAACCAGGAGGGGGATATGTAAGAGGCCAGGTGCAAATTCTCACCGAGGCTCCTTCTGTTTTCTGTTCTTATCCTTGATGTGATCTTAGGGTCCTGCAGGATTTTGATTCCTTGCTGGTACCCATGGTCAGTGTCCAGACATCTGTTCTCAGACCTCTGCAAGCCTCAAAGAACTGTTAGTTTTGCAAGACGCTGATCAGCTTTCAACAGCCTTGCTTTTCTACTTAGCAAGCAAGATAAGAAAGCCCAGGGATGCGAAGAAAGAGAGGAGATGTAAGACCTGCGCACCATGCACAAATCCCACACACCAGGATGGCTCACCTCACAAAGACCATAAGACAGAGACCGTTGCAATAAACGTGAGGTTTTTATTCCAGCATGCTGGGGTCGGCCCCGAGCTTACAATACAAGCACCTTTTATACAGTTTTTCCTGAACAGACCTTTATGACAGGATGAGTTGTTGGTTATCTGTGACGCCTTTAGATTTATGGGTAGACTTTAGCAGGCTGGCACCCCGATAGATCTGTGGTGCCTTTAGATTTACAGGTAGGCTTTAGCAGGCTGGTACCCCCGATAAGGAACGGTGCATTTCTCAATCGTTTATCTTCCCTGGGGCCTGGCCAGGTGGCTCTTAGATAAGGAACTAGTCAGTTCCTGGGACCAGGTGGGGGTCACTCCCTTCCTGGAAAGTTTAGTGTGCTTGGGCCCGCCTGACCTTTGTATGGCCTCTTAGAAGCTGCTTTACTTAAAATGTTTTTAGCAAGCTTTTGTTACAAAACTGTGTATATATTAAAGTTATATTTTTCTACAATTCCCCTACAGAGAAAAACAAACAAACAAACAAAAACTGTGTCTTTTTAAAGTTTCCTACAGCCAAGGCGGTTTTAGGTCCCAACATGGCTTCAGTCCTGCTCACTCCAAAAATCTGGGTTGTTTTTGGCTCTTACAAATCACGCTGCTATGAACTGCTATAAACATTCATATGTAGGCTTTTGTTTGCATATACGTTTTCATACCTCTGGGACATACATCTAGGAATTCCACAGCTGGGTTGTATGGGAGTTGAATGTTAGTTTATTTAAGGGACTGCCAAACTGTTTTCCAGAGCAACGTGTAAATGACCCAGTTTCTCTGCATCCTTGTCAGCATTTGGTGTTGTGGCTGTTTTTTAATTTTAGCCACTTTGATTTAACTTGTGTTACACTCATTGTGGCTTAATTT